ACACACACACACACACACACACACACACACACACACACACACACCACTCTCCACCCCCCAGAAAGCCAGGTCTTGGTTCCTTGACACCAGACAACACGACAGGAGCCCAGGGCTCCTGGACAGACAGAAACACTGCCGATCTGGGCGTGAGGCCAGTAAAGGACCTGGTTCTGTCAGAAGTGGAGAGACAGGCTGGAAAGGGGGCACAGGGGCTCCTTCTGCTGAGCCCGGGTCCTTACAGGCAGAGCCTGGAGACACCTGGGCACGGCTCAAGCCGTTTTAGTGAGGGAGAGCCTCAATAAAGCACGTCCCCCAAAAAGAAGGGTTACGTTCTCGCCGCTGTCAAGTCCGTGCTGTGGGCAGCAGCAAGATGAAAGTGGGTGAAGCGCTGTCAGTCCCCAGAATGTGGTGCACAGACGGGCTCCAGATGCAGTGTCCCCAAAGCGCAGCCCCGTGAAGCAGGACAATCCGGCGTGCTGGCCCGAACCCCTGAAACCAATCTGTAATCCTGCTGTTGGCGCACCTACAGGACCACGGAGAACTGCCCCCACGGGATTTGGAAAACCTGGTCTTTCTCCAGCAAGGCAGCTCGTGATTTCGAAATGGCCAGTCACCCCTATGCCAGCAGGGTGGGCTCCCTGGGCAGGGAGGGGAGGTAGGCTGGTGGGGAGATGCATCAAATGATTTCCGGAACCCGCTGCATCCCCAGGAAGCTGTGAGACGAAATATCACAAAATGGTTGTTTCCAGCTTAACTATTAAAAGGAGGCTGCCGCCGCTTACTGCAAGCATTTCTAAATAATCTAGCGGCCAGATGAAGAGGGGGCTCTTTTTTATTCTCAAGGGGCTCGAGAAAAGGGGGTCCGTAGAAGGTGGGAGACAAGAGCGTGCAGATGTCAGCTTCCATGCAGGGTGGCCTGAGCGTTTCCTGCAGCAAACAGCAGCACGTGCCACGCGTCCACTGACTCCCCCCATGGGCACGCATGGGCACAAGGCCTTGGACCAAGGACAGGAGAGTGACCAGTGCAAGGAGATGCACAAGAAGGGCCTGGTCCAACACCTCTGGCAGCCTCCTTCCCGACAGCTTGGTTCAGATGCCGGAGCGGGAGATCTGCATGCAGCAGATATGGATGGGGCACCAGGTTACGGGCCCAGTCCCCTCTAACAAAACGTTGGACTCTCACAGCAATCCCCATGAGCCTAGAACAGTGTGGTGTCGTCATTCACTCTCACGGAGCCAGTTCTGTCTGATTTAGGGGGCCAGTGTCAGAGTAGAACTCGGCTCCATGGGGATTTCACAGCTGTGACCTTTCTGAAGGCTACACTACTGCACACCCTTACATACGGTCTCTCTG